TCACACAGTAGATCACATACAAGTTGCATATACTTGGAAGTGTGAACGGACACGCAAAAAAAATCCGATTTCACAAAAAAAAAATCGGAATTGAGCATTAAGGCCTGCAGTGTGAACGTAGCCTTAGAGAGTTGTAAAAAACTAACGGATGGACAGAAGGATTGCCTTTGCTTCTGTTTCAGATGAAGACCGTCTGTCCAGGAAGATCAGCATTGCAGACACCATCTCTCTCCAGATAGCCATCGACCATGAGTCCAGTTCTGAAGCTCAGAAACCTCAGACGGAGCAGATCACCTTTGAGACTCTGAAGAACACCATCGGTAAAACATCTCGTCATGACATGCATGTTGTTGTTTTCGGTTTGAATTTCTTAAAAAACGTCTTTTTCCTTTGAGATGATCGAGGACTGGTGGAGGAGGAGGATAGGAGGAGGAGGATGCAGGTGGTGGAGAGGTTTCAGACGGCTCCTTTTGAAGAAATCGCAGCTCTATGTGGATCCAGGGTGAGACTGAACTCCAGCCTCTGTCTCTGGATAAGGAAAGCTGTCAAACTGTCCCCCTGACAGACGTTTTGTCTTCATCCTCAGACCTCACTGCTTCAGTCCAAACTAGATCAGGTTTTTGACCTGATTGTTCGTCCTCCTCCGTCTCCGTCCGGGCAAACGTCCCGTCGATCAACGCCCATCTATGAGATGAAGTTTCCTGACCTCTGTGTTTATTAGGACGACCTGGAGAGCGACGGAGGGAGAGAGACGACTCCAGTGATGCTTTATGTTTAGGTTTAGTTGTTCAGTTTTTCATTTTATGTTGGATGCAAAGGAAAACATCAGCGTTCCATTTATTTATAATCTGAGTTGTTCTGATTTTGTTCTTAGTAAAATGACACCAATTTAATCTCTAACTGCCGAACTTTTAGATTTCAATGATAAAAAATTGGAGATCCTATTTTACATCAAACACTGCAGAATATAAGACTGTTTCATTTTCACTCTTTTCTTCAACTAGATTTTCTTTTATATTCCCTTAAAGGAAAAGTCTGAATTTAAACTTCTGAAAGTCCTTTAATTTATGAGATGATTCCATCCTGTTCAATAAATGATCAGTGTTTTTAATTAATGAATGTGCTTTACTGGAGGCATCCATGTTTGTTAATAATTTACTATTTATTACAGATTAAGGCTAAATTCATTAAATCACCACAAACGTATTAGTTTTAGGTATAAATAATCATCCATTGATTTTTCCTCATCTTTATGTCATAAGGTTGGGTTACATCTGTTATTGGCTTTTATCAGAAATGGTATTTAGTATGTAAGTTATGCAATTTTTTTTTTTTTTTTTTTTTACCAAACTGCTGTTATTGTTTTAGAAACGTATCCTTAGTATTTTACTTTGTTTCCTCTTCAGATGTTCTGAGAGTTCTCCCAGGTGTTCAAAGCTCATTCAAATATGAATTAAACAAATTTTTCCTTTTCCCAGATTTTTAACCACCTGTTTCATGTTTAATTACGACCCCAGTTTGTATTTATGATGTATTTTAAATCAATGAAAGATAAAAGCTGCAGTGGGACTGAAATCAGTTAGAATGTTAGACATAGATATATATGACCTTTTTTTGTTGATCAGACTTATCCACAGGGTGATAGGTTGGCACAAATCAAAAATCAGACTAGTTCGGGGGAAAACTCACGTGGGGAGCCAGAAAAAGACGAGGAAGTAGCACTGAGGAACAGATTGGGAGCAGGTGTGAACTGAGGAATCTAGAAGGGAGCTAGAGAAAAGAAGACCAACAACAGAGGGCAACCAAGAAATACCTAAGAACTCAAATACATCAAGAAAGCACCACAAAAATAGGAATTAAACCAATAAAACTAGAAAACTAGATTAAAGTGAAACTGAAAACTTCGGCAGAACCAAGATCGTGACAGTCACGTAGTAATATATATGCTAAATGCACCCGGAGTTTTCTCCAGATGCATTTATCATATATATTTCGGAGAAAACTCCAAGGTGTGACAGCGTTTGTGACAGCGAAGTGTTGGCTTCTCAAATTTAGAAACTCATGGGTTCAAATCCTCTAGAAATTGATCTTCTGTTTTTCCAACAACTAAAACAAAAAAACAAATCTGCCCGGAGTAAAGTCCAAAGTGTGACAGGTGTCTACATTTAAAACTGGGTAACGTGTGAAGATTTTATGCAATTCTGGGTTTCTAATCTAAGGTAGATCAGAGCTTTTAAAGAGAAAGATTCTTCATCTGCCTCGTAGCTCAGATGGAATAGATGCTGGTTTAGAGTTCAATGGATCCTGAGTTCAACTCCTGGTTCATCTCTGGAGTCTCATAGATTATAACACCTAGAGTCACTATACATGTTACATCTAGATTTATTGGTTTTCAAAGAGAGAAATGAAACCAAAAAGATAAATACGCTACGAGAAGAGTGGGACAAGGCCTGTGGTGTGATTGTTAAAGCATCGGCTCAGAAACTAGAAGCTGATGAGTTCAAATCCCTCAGAAGTTGATCTTCTGTTTTTCTAACGACTGTAGAAGAAGAAACAAAAAGATAAATGCGCCCCGAGAAAAGTCCATATGTCCACAAGTGTGGCATGGATGTTAAAACCTTGACTTTAAAACTAGAAGCTCATGGGTTCAAATCCCACTATTATCTTTTTCCAAGAACTG